CTCGTGGCCACCCAGCCCAGCAGCAGCGCCTGCGAGCTTTCCGGGAGCTCCAGAGTGTTGCTGCCGTTGGGACAGAGCCGGCCGGGGAAGGAGCGAGGTAGGCATCCTGCTGGCCCCTGGGGCGTGGTCCAAGGTCCCCGCTGGCCATCTGGGGGAGGGAACAGGGATGGAGGCGTCATCTCCTGCCTCTCAACCAGCCCTCCTGCTGGGTGGTGACCCCCTCCGCCCCCCGAGGGGCTGCAGCCGAGGCCCCAGCTCGCAGGAGCCCCCACGTCCGTGGGACAGAGTTAGACACGGAAACCCTTTCCCCGTGGGCTCAGGGCTGAGCTGGAGGGCCCCCCGGTCCCGTGTCCTTCCGCCCATCTCTGATGCTCCCCCCACAGGCCCACGGCAGCACACGGTGTCACTCACCGTCTCCTCCCGCTAGGCTCCAGTCTTCATCGTAGACACTGGGAGTCGGGGTGCCGCCCTCCAGGCGGGACCCCAGGGCCAGGGGCCACAGCAGCAGGAGCGCCCACATGCTATTGGGGCCGGACGCCGGCTGCTCTGGGCGTCAGCCAACTGGCCTCGGGCTTCCTATCTGCTGGACCCCCACCCCCAGCTTCCTGAGTGGAGGCCGGGGAGCGGACAGGGCCTGGTGAGATAAACCAGCCCCTGCCCCCAGCCGGCCCGGGGGAGGCCCGCGGATGACCTGAGTGGCCTTGTGGCTCCGGCCACGTTGTCTGGCAGAGGTGCCTCACGGGGTTCGAGTGCTGGGCCAGTAAAACGGGAGGAAGTCTCAGGCGGCAGCAGCCCCACCAGCCCCTGTCCAGACCAGGAAGCCTGTGGGGCCAAGTGGTCACTTCCTGCTGGCCAGTCACAGCAGCCCAGGCCTCCAGGTCACGTCCTGCCTGCATCAGGAGCTCTCGGCCCTTCCTGAAACCTCGTCTCTCTCTGGTGGGCAAGACCAGAGTCCTGCCTTTCAGGTCATAGGTCAGAGCAGGTGAACCCCCTGTCCCCTCACATGCGCCCAAGCCCCCGGGGGCCTCTGTGAGGTCTGCCCTGCCTTCTCGCCTCCTCACCCATTACCCAGCACGATCGCCTGGACACGGGGCAAAGTGAGGTGCCGAGAGGGGAAGGCACCTTGCGAGCTGGATCTGCTGGGAAGTGCTGAGGAGTGTGAGCCCCGTTGTCCTGTGGCCCTGACAGGGGAGTCTGGCACAGCCACGTCTGGGCGATGTCTGTCCTTAGTTCTCGAAGCGTCTTTTGCTCCTGCCCTGGCCCCACCTCAGCCTGGGCCCCAGGGGTGACTGGGAGGGATGGACACAGACGTCCACATCAGAGCCCACGGGAGGCAGCAGGCCAGCCCCGGTTGGGACACCGGAGCCACCGCCCAGGGGCCCTCCTTCCTCTGCCCCCCACGTTCCTATATTCTGATGGGGGCCACTGTGCAGATGAAGAAACGGAGGCTCAGAGGGAGGGCATTCCTCTCTCGAGCCCCCACCCCCATTCCCCTCGAGGGCCTAGAGAAGCCTCCAGCAGTCCTGCCTGGGGAGCTGGAACTCGGGGGCCTCGGTTCTGTGTGGTCAGCACTGGGCCGTGGGCCTGTGTCTGGAAGCAGGACCCCAAGGGGCAGTGGGAGGTGACAGAGGGGTCAGATGTGGTGTGTCTTGGCACAGCAACCCTAATCTCATCACACTCAGGGACACAGACCCGCAGGAAGTGACTGAGCAGTTTGGACGTGGTCAGAGGCTGAGATGCTGAGTCCCTGCCCCCAGCCCGGTGAGGGGGACTGAGGCCTGGAGCGCCCGCGCTGGGCAGCGTCCCAGCCAGGAGCTCTCCCATTCGGAGTGGCTTCCACCAGTAACACACTCAGCCCGTGCCTCCGTCTCTGGACAACGCACAACTGGTGATGCCCTCAGCTCAGGAAAACCAGGATGGCGACCCTGCCACCCTCCGGGAAACTTGTGCCGGGGATGCTGGGGGCGGGACACCGGGCCAGGGCAGACGGGGAGCCCCAGGAGGGTGGTCTGACTCAGGAGGTCCGTGTCCTGGAATTTATGGCAGACACGTGCGTGCAGGAAGGTATCTGTGCAGGGGCTATTACCAGGAAGGCGGGGGTGGTGGGAGGGAGGGAGGAAAGGGGTTGTTCACTGACAGCCCCCTTGGAGACAACCTGTGCCGGCAGAACGAAGGGACCCCAAATGGAGGTGTTGGCTGCTGTCCTGTCCCAATTGGGTGACAAGTGGCACAGAGGTGTCCGCTCCCCCGCCTCCACGCAGGAAGCTGGGGGTGGGGGTCCTGCAGAAGGAAGTCCAAGGCCAGCTGGCTGACGCCCAGAGCAGCCGGTGCTGGCACTGGCCCCGATAGTATGTGGGCGCTCCTGCCGCTATGGCCCCTGGCCCTGGGATTCCGCCCTGAGGGCTGGAGCACAGGGGCAGCTGCCTTTGGGGAGAGGGGCTTGGGCCCCCACTCCTTCGTGTGCTTCTTTGTACTATCGGGATTTTCTGTACATGTCACTTTCCATAAAAACTTACGTTTTTAAAAAGGCAGAAAGGTAGCTTCAAAACGGAAGGAAATTCTGACACATGCTACAAGGATAAACCTGAGGACATTGTAAGCCAGACACAAAAGGACACACACACGCTACACAGATAAACCTCGAGGACATTATAAGCCAGACACTAAAGGACACACACTGCATGCTTCCACATATACGAGGCTCCTCGTCAGACCCAGGAACAGAGATAGAATGGTGGGCGCCAGAACCCAAGATAGTACGAGCCTCCTCCTCCAAGCTGCCCGCTACCGACATTCTGGAGGGGGAGGCGGGGACCATGAGGGGCCCCACGTGGGTGGAGGGGCCCCTGGAAGGCAGCAACAGCCGATCATGGAGTGGGCAACTTCTGGGAGAGGATTGGCCATGTGGGCAGGGTGGTGCCAACTGGACTCAGGAACCTGACAGGTGGGGTCTGGAGGTGGGCACTGGGCATGGCTGAGGGGAGCCAGGTACACAGTGCAGCTAGAGGGCACAGCCAGTTCCCTGGCGGCAGTGCAAGAGGTGCCAGCTGAAAGGCCCCAGAGAGGGGTGGGGGCTCCCCTGATCCTTGGAGGGGGAGCCAGCAGGTGGGAGGGCTCCTAGAGATGTTCAGAGGATGGTGATGGGGAAGAAGGGAGAGGCCCCGGAGGTAGAGTATGGAGGGTGGTTTTGTGGGGCAGATGTCCATTTGCCTCCCATGAGCCTCGGGACTTGGCATCAGACGCACAAGGGCAGACACCGGGTGTTGTAACTGGTTTTTGCAAGCGCAACATTAGAAGGAAACACTTCACATTTGTATTAAACATAGAAACTGACCTGGAATGTTCTAGAAAATGCTCTGGTATGAGGCGGAGATCCGCCGCGGGAAATTATCTGGGAGGTCTGGGACCCCTGTGCACAGGTGCAGACACTGGTCCCGCTGCCTGAACTCACTGGGCGGGAAAAGCCGCCCTGGGATTCGCTAACCGGAAATAACGGAGGGAAGCTCACAGCTTCAGGTCAATATTTAACTGTTCACTTTAATGTGCAAATAAATAGAAAAGGAAACTACATTCAAAACAGCTGCAAAGGAAGTTCAAGCCCCAGAAGAGAAATTCTTCAAAAACGAGAGAGCTCCTTAGAAGCATGCAGGGGAGGGGATCAGGGGTTTGGCAAACACCCAGGCGCCCGCTGAGGCACAGGGGCGGCCTCACGGGGCCGGTGCCGGAGTTCGGTAAGTCCCCTTCTTACAAAACAGGGTTCAGACAAAGTGCCTGGGTCACACTGGAGGAAAGAGGGCAGGGAGACCCCAGGAGGGTAAGCAAGCCTGGGCCCAGAGTCAAAGGCTTCGCCAACCTCGAGTTCCACAGGCAACTTCTAGAACACGCCTCCACTGCGGGGGCCGTGGGTTTGGCACAGCTCAGCAGGAGGGCGAGGCGGCGGGGCAGAGCTCACGGGGACTGCTTCGGGCCCGTCAGTGGGTCCCGCTCAGTATGATGTTGCCAGAGGCCCGGCCCGGGCTGCTCGCGCGCAGTTTTAAGGAGCTGGTCCCCAGTCTGAATTGCTTGGCATTCTTGGCCCAGAAAGCCGCGGTCGCCTCTGCAGAACAGTCGCCCCAGCTCCCCCCGCCCCCCCACATGCCTAGTGGCAACGGCAGGAACAGCGGTGTCGGGTGGGCATGAAGAGGCTCTCACTCCCTAGAAGCCTTGGGACGTGGCTGTTGGAGAAGTAACCACCACTGAGCGCGCGCAAAGGAATAAATAGGTGTGTGCACCTGTCTTTCTAGAATGTCCGTCTTGGTACACAATCCATCCTGGAGCCCCCCATGGCCACTCGCTGGGGGCTGAGCCCTGCCCCTCACAGACCCAGAGTCCGGCTGCTGGATCAATGCAGGGTTTGGCGAGTCTTCTTCCCAGTGGGGTCTTCTGGGCCATTTGGATGCCCTGCCCACACCACACCTAACAGTTTTGCTTATAAAACAACAAGTATCCGAGCACTGGCGTGGCCAAGCTGATGCCCACAGTCAGATCTGGGCACTGCCCAACTCCTTTTATGCTGGGAGCTCTCGAATGTTGGCCCCTCCCAAACATGTGCCCTCACATGGCTGGTCACTGGCTTTCCCAGGTGCCCTGTGCACATAACCAGCGCAGCCCTGCCCAGAGATTTGGCACATGTGATTTAAGTGCCTGGCAGGTGAGTGAACACAATTGCTTGCTCCTCAGGCAGTGGGTGGATCCTCCCCTTTCTGATGGGGACTGAGCCCCAAGTTCAAGTGCAGGAGGTTCAGGTTTGGCACAGGACTGGCCCAAAGGAGGCTGAGGAGCTGAGTGATGGCAGCATGGGGCTGCAAGCTGACACAACCCTTCTCTGGAGCGGCAGCCTGCAGCAGCAAGGCTGGGGAATGCTCCCTTCCCTCGGGTGGCTCATAAAAATGCTCTTGACAGACACCCAGGCCTGAGGAAGCAACCACGCCGAACTGTGTTGCGATGGCTGCTCAGGTGCATCAGGGGGAGGCAGGGCGGCGGCTGTACTGCACGCGGTAGCGGGTCACAGGCAGGCCATGCACATGGGCCGTCTCGCAGAGCGTCTTGCAGGGCACCATGTCCTCATCCTCTTCGCCCATCAGCCAGTCCTGCACCAGGCCAGCTGCCTCCACAGTCACGTTGTCCTCCAGCCAGCGGCTGTGCCATTCCTCAAAGTGCTGGTGGTGCCGCAGCAGAACCAGGGGCTGTACCTGTCAGGTGGGTGGAGTGGAATCAAGAGATCGGGCGCCCAGCCGGCTGTGGGATGGGAGCCTGGGCACTGATACATGGCTGTGGGCGAGACCCAGGGTCCCAGGGCAGAGTGGGAGGCGTACCTGTTTGGCTCGGCAAAGGGTCCCCCGGCGGTACATGTAGTCCTCGGAGTTGACAATGAACATCATCTTGTGGGAGCTGAGCTTGAAGCGGCAGTCCACGTTGCAGGCGCTCTCCACCCCCACCAACCGCTTCCAGGAGCTCTTGGCCTCACCGCGCAGGGCCCGCACCTGCTCACATTGCCACCTGTGGAATTTCTTGAGGTTCCTGAGGGTCACAGGAGGATTTGCAGATTAGGAAATCCGTGGCTGGATTTCCCAAGGGTAAGGGAGATGCAAGAGAAGCAAAAAGACACGACCCAGAGAAACCCTTTAATCCAGAGAAAACCAACCCGTCACACAGGGTGCTCGCGGCCCCGGGAGAAACTGCCTGGCCAGCCCTGTTGGCTCCTCTCGCTTGTTTCCTATGTGCCTCCAACATGGAGCCCCTCACCCAGGACCCCCTTTCCTGCTCCCACCCTCCCAGACTTGGTCCCATCTCCCTCCTATCAGTGGGCCTGAGACCCCACCCCCAGGCTGGCTCCCACCTGGCAATGGGTCCCCACAAACCTCAACACCAACCAATAGTCTCCACTGATCTTAGTCCATTGTCTCAACTTGGCCTGAGACCTGGCCCTGCCTGCCTCAGGTCCAGAGTCTAATGATGCTGGCACTCCCGTCCCGGGCCTGATGGCTGCCATTTCCGGGAGCTTCTCCCCCAGGGACTCACCCCCTTCTCCCAGCCCCTCTGCTCCCACAGGCAGGGCAGCCCCTCTCCGGGGATGACGGCATGACGGCTCTGCTCCGCCCAGACCTCAGGAGGGCACAGCACACCTCGTACATCAGGTGCCCAATGCGTGTCCCCACACGAAAGAAACCATCTTTGGCCTCAGGTAAAGACACAGGGCCTCCTGTGGCTCCTCTCACCTCTGCAGGAACACGGGCTTCAGGAGGAAGCCCTCGGTGGGGGAGCTGGACGCACCCTCGGTCCCCACGTACTGCTCCATGTACCGAGCCAGGTGCTGGGGGAACAGGAGACATGGCGTGACCTCCTGTGTAAGGGCTCCTCAGCCAGGACCCTGAGCTCAGGGCTCCCGGGCATGTGTTAGGGGGATGGTGGCTGTTGAAGACCATGATGTGTGACGGAAACCAGACTGCAGCTGGGGCAGGACATTCATACCAGCTACGAGACACTTTATGGCATTTTGTGCTTAAGCTGAGAAGTCCCTTCTGTGTGACAACCTATTCATCTAGTTCACACAGGGGACGGGGACCCCCTTATAGAGGAATCAAGATCAGATAGACATCGGGACACAAGCAGCAGTAAAGAAGAGCAGGTCACAGGTGGGAGAGAACAGAGGGTGGGGCTGGAAGGGGCCACCTAGGTCCAGTGGGGCATGGTGGTGTCCAGTGACCATCTGCTCACCGCCCTGTTAAAGCCAGAGGCTCCTCCAGACATGAGCTTAATAAAACCACATTTGCTGGAAACTTCTGGAAGGTGTGAGGTATGCAGGCCTCCACCCTCACTGGTCTCAGAGCTTCCTATGTGAGGGAGTCCAGAGGTAGGCTGGGAGGGGAGCCCCTGCGGCCACGGTGAGTGCCCCCAGCTCTGGGAAGGAGGCTGGGCTTACCGGCCCTGGAGTGAGGGCGCCGAGTGTCACTGCACTGCCCATGTCTGCAGACACAAAGCTCCTGAGCGGACAGGATGCTCCAGATCCTGGCTGACTCGGGTCAAAAAGGCAGCAACACCTTTTTGAAGTAGGATTCCTTATTTGTACTGCTCGACTCCAGAAAAGGTCTGACACAGCTACATGTCAGGGGACCGATCGCTGTGGTTTCTCTGAGAACAAGCAATTCCTGGAATGTGGAATCTTTGGTGATAAAACCAGGAATGTCCCAGGTAAACTGGGACAAGCTGTTCACTACTGTGAGTTGAATTGTGTCCCCAAAAAAGCACGTCTAAGCCCTGACCCCTGGTACCTGTTAATGTGTCTCATTTGGAAACAGAGTAATCAAGGTGAGGTGAGGTCACACTGGAGGAAGGTCCTTTAAGAGCAGAAAACAAAACAGAGGGGAAGCGTCTTGTCTAGTGGAATGTGTGACTCAGAGTGTGGCCAGGCGGATGTTCTCCTGGTGATTAAGGCTAGTGACCTGGAGCCCTGAGCTTTATGCAGAGTGCAGAGGTCACACGCTTGGGTGACCATGGCGGCCGCAGGCTCAATTGGGATGGCTTGGTGTCTACAGCATGTGGGAGGACTCAGGACCCAGGGTCCTGCCTGGGACACACCGAGACTCCTGAGGGGTTGTCTGCAACTGGCCCTCCCTTGGGCTCCCAGAGAGCACGGGGCCTGTGCTTGTGCACGTGGCTCTTGGGGTGGGAACTCCACGATACTGACTATGCTTCCCCTGGCCCGAGTGTGCACAAGGCAGAGCACAGGGCCGTCGTCCTCACCTGCACCTCCACAGGGTCTTCCGACTGCGCTTCCTCGGTGTCCAGGAGCTCAATGGTCATAATCACCTGCCCTTTGCGCTGAAGGAACATCACCTGGGGAAGGTGGGGGACAATACCTGAGGCCACGGAACAGTCCAAGCCGACACAGGATGAGGTCAAAGCTCATCAATTAGCCACCTCTGCCAGCCTCTGGGCCAGACCCTTCCTCCAGGCATCATGGGCCGGTACCCACCTCATGGGCCCGTGGTGCCCTCGGAGGCCAGGACCAGCACCCAGAGGCCCAGTTCAGGCAATCCTGCCCCCAGGCCAGAACACAATGGCCGGCCCCTCCTGTTTGGGGCATTCCCCTTGCTCGCCTCTCTCACCTTGAAGCAGTTCTCATCAGCCATGCAGCGCTCGGCCTTCCACTGGTAGCTGGTCTCCCTGGCGGCGCGGACGCAGCGGGAGGACAGGTTGCCCCCGGCGGCGCCCCGCTTCTTCTCGTTCAGGTAGAGCTCCACCACCTTCAGGCAGATGTCGTCACTCACGAGGTGGTGCAGCTGGCGGGGAGGAGAGCGGGTGGGTGCCTGGAGTGTGGGCCGTCAGCAGGGGGAGCAGTTTCCAGCACACCGCCTGCTGCAGTCCCCACCTCACCCAAGGACGTGGTCAAGTCCATGAAATGGGGTGAAGGCCAGGATCAGATGGGCCATGCAGAGCGAGTACCTTGGCACAGGGTGCAGAGCAGTCCAGAGCAGAAAACCTAGCCTAGATCAGACTACAACGGACAAGAGCGGACCAGTCCAGAGCCAAGCAGACCAGTTCAAACTAGACCAGACCAGCAAACCCTGCTTGGGTTTGAGAGACATATGGAATAAATGCAAAAGAAAATGTTCCAAAATGGGGATGGTAATTATCTGAGAGTGGTGGGATGGAGGGAGGTTATTTTCCCTAAATTTTCAGCAATATACACAATGAATTCCTACAAACATTTAAAACCTTAAGGTTTAAGAAGAAATGAATAACGGAGACAATTGAGGCACAGGGTCAGATGGAGCTGTGAGTCGGCCCTGAGACCATGAGCTGTAGCAGGGCCTTGGGTTCTGCCCCAAGTGTCTCGGATCTCATATGGTGCCTGGCCCATGGAAAGTTCCCCCAAATAGTGGCTGCTGTTATTGGAAACAAGAAATGCAAATAATAATGAAGGCAAAGGGTGTGGCTGTGTTCCCTCTAAGTAAGTTACAGGTGTCAGCATGGGAGAGGTCTGTGAGCGTATCTGGCCCAGGCATTTCTGGGGGGGGTTTGATGAAGCCACAGCTCTGGGGGTGAAGTGCTTGCCCCATGAGTGAACCTGCCCCAGGGGTGAAATGCTGCTCTACAGCAGTGGTTCTCAATCTGTGGGTCGCGACCCACAGGCTGAGAACCGCTAGCAGGGTCGCCTAAGACCATCGGAAAAGACAGATATTTACATTACGCTTCATAACAGCAGCAAAATTACAGTTATGAAGTAGCAACAAAAATAATTTTATGGTTGGGAATCAGCACAAGAGGACCTGTATTAAAGGGTCACAGCATTAGAAAGGTTGAGAAGCACCGATTTAAACACAGTTCAAGACAGGAACTCTATCTCAGCATCAGAAATCAGGGCAGTAGGTGCCCATGGTGAGGAGTAGCTGGGAGGGGTGGTGAGTGAGGGCAGCCACATGTGAAGACCCGTTGAGCCACCCACTTAGGATTGGGGCACTTTTCTGTGTGTGTCTACTTCAATGAGAAATTTTCCTAACCTAGAAGGAAATGGCTTTTCTAGAATGTTCCCAATGACTGTATGTGGGTGGGTGGGAGATTTTACTGGCTTCTCTTCCACTTGAAGTGAACAGCCTTAGCTGGTAATCAGGAAACAAAGGTCAAGCTGAAGACCACCACCAGCAGGACACATGTCCCAAGACCACACCACCCTGTCTGGGGCTTTGTTGTTTATATTTTATGACTCATTTCCTCTCCTTGACATTTCTATTGCCGGTGTTTTGCTACTATAAGTGATACTGAGTGCTGAGGAACGTCACTGATAGCCGTCCCACGCCCCTACAAGTGGTCCACAATTCTTTACTCACTGCCAAGTTACCCTCACAAAACGTTTGTTAGCAGGGACTCAAATTCATGTTCACAAGTATTATCCACAACTGCCAAAAGGTGGCAGCAATGCAGGTTCATGCATGGATGAATGAACGAACACAATGTGGTCCAGTCTACAGTGGAATATTTCTCAGCCATAAAGAGGAAAGAAGCACTGACATGATACAGTGTGGATGAATCTTGAAAACATCTTGCCTGGTTAGAGAAGTCAGACCACATACTGTATGATTCCATGTACATGAAAAGTCAGAATGGGTAAACACAGAGACAGAAAGCAGATTGGTGGTAGTCAGGAGCTGGCAAAGGGGAAAGGAGAGTGACTGCTAACGAGCACAGGGCTTCTTTTTGGGGTGATAGAAATGTTCTGGAACTAGACAAAGGTGAAGACTGTATAACACTGTCAATGCACTAAATGCTATTGAGTTATTCACTTTAAAATGGCTAACGTGCCTGCCAGTGTGGCTCAGCGGTTGACCGTCACCCATGAACTGAGAAGTCACTTGCTCAATTGCCAATCACAGCACTTGTCCAGGTTTTGGGCTTGACCCCCAGTGAGGGACGTGCAGGAGGCAGCTGATCAATGCTTCTCATTGATGTTTCTATTTCTCTATCCCTACCTCTTCTTCTCTAAATTCAATTTAAAAACCCTATATAATAAAAGCCTAAATGCTAAGTGTCCAGTCCTCTGTTCAACCAAAGTGTAATCCTATCTAATAAAGAGGGAATATGCTAATTGACTACCACGCCCTCAAAGATGGCGGCACCCTCAGCCACAGATGGTGACACCCAGTCCCTTCAGCTCTGTGCGCCTGCCTCTGGAGTCCCCCAGTCCTCTCCGCACCCCAGAGCTGGCCCAAGGTACAGGCAAGCTGTGGATGGTGGCTGCCCAGCCGATGCCCGAAGTGCAGGTAAGCCTCGGATGGCAGCTGCCCAGCCGCCCAGGGCCAGCCCAAGGCTCCGGCAAGCCTGAGGCTTGCACTGCCAGCAGTGGCAGCAGCAGAGGTGTGATGGGGCGTTGCCTTCCCGATCGCTAGGTTGCCTCCTGCTCCTGAGGGCTCCCAGATTGTGAGAGGGGGCAGACCGGGCTAAGGGACCCCCGCTCCAGTGCATGAATTTTCATACACTGGGCCTCTAGTATGCTAATGAATGCTAAGGCCGCTCAACCACTCTATGATATGTACTGACCACTAGGGGGCAGATGCTCCAACCGATAGGTTAACTTGCTGCTGAGCTAGACAGGAACATGCCCTGGAGCTCTCCCACTGTCCCTCCCTGACTGACCAACCTCCCGCATCCCTCCCCAGCCCTGATAGTGCACTGGTGAGGTCCCTTGGCCTGGCCTAGGCCTTCTCGCAATCCAGGAACCCTCGAGAGATGTCAGAGAGCCTGGTTTTGTCCAATCTCACAGGCTAGACCAAGGAACCCCACTGGTGCATGAATTCATGCACCAGGCCTCTAGTAAATAAAATTAAAAAATTAAATATAAAATAAAATAAAACAGTTATTAACATTATGTTATGTGAATTCTACACTGGTTAAAAAAAAAAAGGAAAGAAGCTGGCATGGGCCCAACCACACAGCATGAGAGTGATAGGAGGGCACGTTTTCAAAGCTGGGGACTGGCAGAGAGTCTTGAGGAGGGACTGGCAAAGAGTCTTGAGGAGGTGCTGTCGCCCCATGTGCCAGGCCTCTTGTCACTCTGCTCGCTGCCCACCCTGCACCCGCTCACCTGGCGCGCGATGCTCTGCACCAGCTTGTCCATGGTGAAGCCGACGTAGGCGTGGATGGTGAACATCTCGCGCAGCGTGTCCTCGTACTGCGTGGGGTCGATGCTACCGTCAAGCAGGCTACGCACCATATCCAGGAAGGCCGGGTAGTATTCCTCCAGCTCCACCTCACCTAAGGGTGGGCGGAGACAGGTCACAAAGGACTGCAACCACAAGGAGAATCCAGAATCTCCATAGAATCAAGCAGCCACGCTCCCGCCTCCCACGCTCGGGCTTCTTAATGTTGGCCCGCCTCCAGGACGGAAGCTTGAGTGGCAGTGGCTGCATGGGGCCCAGCTTAGGAGGCAGGCATGACGTGGCCTGGCCTGGCGATGCCCGTTTCCTGCTCCTAACAGAGCACCACAGCCAGAAGTGGTGCTACTGCTTGAGGAGGCGAGGAATAGGAAGGGTGTTCGAAACTATTATTTTTGTGACTTCTCATTTGAGATATTGTGATTATTTCAAAATGAAAAGCCAGAAAAAAACACAAGGGGACATTTCTGATCATAAGCTGTGAACTGAAACCCTTCTCATCCGCGGGCTCCGACAGGGGCTGGGGACTCACTGGGCTGCTTCAGCCGCAGCTCCATGGCGGGGTCATTGCCCTTTTCCCGCCGGCCCTCGCAGAGCAGCTTCTCCCTCTCCTTCTCCGTCCGGTACTCCAGGAGCTGCTTCTGCGCCTGGCGGTAGATCTTCAGGAGCCGGGAGCACAGGGTCTGGTGGAGACGCAGGAAGAAGTACCAGTTGTTGTTGGCGAAGAAGAGGCTGTAGACGTCATCCATGGGCTGCTGTGGTGGTGGTGGTAATGGCGGCGGAGGTGGCGGTGGTGGTGGCGGCGGTGGCTGTTGATCAGGGGTGGAGCCCTCGCTGGTGGGCCCCTTCTCCACCGGGGGGCTGCTCTGTGGCCCCGGCGCTGGCTTCTTCCGGTCACCAGGTTCCGCACTCTGCCCCTGGGGGCTCCCCCGGCCCTCGTCAGCGGAGTCCTCAGATGCCCCTAGGTCCAGGTGCTGGGAGAAGAAGAGACTGGGCACAAACTGGTGCACCAGCTGGTGGATGGTGCCCTGGTCCTCCTTCTGGATGGCTGGCTGCCGCTTCACGTAGTAGCTGATGAGAGCGGCCGCATCCTCCAGGATCTGCCTGTCCTCGTACACGAAGATCAGGTGTGGTTCACTGGAAGGGGCGCTGCGGCCCTCCGAGTGCTGCTCCTGGTGCTGGGAACAGGGTGAGTGTCAGGCAGGAGAAACCCGCTAGGAGAACCCAAGATTTACACCCTCAGCTTTAACAGTGTCACACTGCTCAGCGCCAGGATCAGAACAGGGCCAACCTCCCTCCCACCACCAATGCCTGCAGCAGTGCCCTGGTTACTAAATTCCAGCTGACCCGAGGTGCCCAGTCCAAGCTCTCCATGGGGTGAGGCTGGCTGAGGGTAGACCCTGGGCCTCTCTGCCCACCATCATTCATTCATGGATGCTCAGCTAGACCATGAAGACCTGGGACTCCTTACCTGTCAGCCTCCTCTCCCGCAGCCTTTCACACCTGGCACATACCCTGCCTCTGCCCCCTCCCACACACCACCAGACCCTCCACAGTTCTATCACCCTGCTGCGCAGGCCTCCTACCTGGCCACTCCAACTACTCTCCTCACCCAGTTTAGAGCAATATGGCGAGAGGAGAACAGCCAGCTGCATCACCGCCACCAGGTCCTCCCACTCCCATCAGCAGAGAACTCCAGCCCCAGTCTCATAGCTCACATGCTCCTCCTCTGATGCTTCAGGAGTGCAGGACCTTTGCCTGAGCCTGTTTACTTTCTCCCTGGAGAACCACGTTTCTGGGTTCAGCCCTCTCCTCAGTCTTTAGCTAATCATCCTTCTTCCAGGAAACCTAGCCAGTGACTACTTCCTCCAGACTGCCTGGGCCGTGGGCCGTCTAGGTTCTTGGAGAGATGAGTGTGGATGCATCCCTGTAGGTGGGGCCTCCTGAGGGCAGGACAGGGGGAGGGAAGAGGCACAGGCTGTTCCCAAACAGAACTAGTGACTGGCACGAAAAAGAGATGGGGCCCTCTGTGCCCTGGCCCTCATGAGCTAACACCCCCTTCCCCTCTGCCCTCAAGGGCAGAGCCAAGAACTCAGTGGTCAGTGGTGGGTCTGTTGGGCTACATCATCACCCCCAGTTGACAATGTTCCACAGACCCAGTTGGTGGGGAGAGGTCGCAAGGTCCTTCCTCAAATGAGGAGGTCAGACAAGCTGAAGAGTAGGGCCTGGGCCCTGCAGGGGGGAGGGTGCCCTGGAGAGGGAGGCTGAAGGGCTTGCTGCTTATGTGAAGAGTAAAAGGGAGTAAGTGACTCTGGCCAGGCAAGTGCTCAGCCATCAATGCTGCTCTGTCCCCGTCTCCTGGGCTCAGCTGGCAACCTCCCTGACTGCCCCCCAGGGGCCTCCATCTCCTGGCCAGGCCGCTTCCTACATCTGTTTTTCACAGGTCCAGACTCTCAGAGCCTGAGAGCCCAGCCCTGCCTCAGTTATGTGGTTCGGGGCCCATGAACCTAGACGGTCCAAGACTGGCAAGAGGACACGGTGCAGCTGCTGGAGGTGAAGCCCTGGGGACAGAGGCCTGGTCTCCTGTGACTTTTTGTGCCCGAATTCTCACTGAGGAAACTGAAATTTGGTTAACAGTACTGCATAGGAAGGCCTGCGAACAAGGGTTCTATAGGATGTTCCTTCTGGGGATTCAAGTGCTATCTGGTACCCACTGGCTATGGAGAAAGGAAAGCTGCTGGCATCAGGCATCTGAAGGAAGGTCCATCAAGGCCCACGATGGGGGGGGAGGAGGGAAGAGCCCCGGTCCTCCCTTGTCTGTGCTACAGAAACCTCCACCCTCACCCCTACACAGCCGTGAGGGCAATGCCACCAACCCTGCCTCCCCACTGGGAAACAGGCAGAGAGCCAGCGAAGAGGAGGGTCTCACCTCATCATAGACACTCTCAATCTCATTGAGCAAGCTCTTGGAGCGAAGGGCCTTGGTGTCGTTCTGCTTGAAGTTCACTGCCTGGTGGTCCAGGGACTTGAGGTATGCCTTCTCATACTGCTCCCGCCAAATCTTGTTGAAGCCCTGCTGGGCCTCCCGCCACTCCTCCTCCTTGGCCTTCAGCCTGTGGGGGCCAGAGGGGCTCAGCACAGGGACAGTAGCACGGGAACAGCCTGTGACACCGCCTGAGTCATCCCTGCACCAGGACCGGCCTGTCTTCCACCCACAGACTAGCCATGTGGGACAACCAGCTCCGGGCTTGTCTGTACTGAATAAAGGAGGGAGCCATGGTCCTGGAGGACCAATGTGGACAGTTGTATGGTTTCTGAAACATGCTGCCACGGAACCAACCTCCTCCCTGTCCTGGCTTCTGCCCCTGACCATACTCCATGTAGCTGTTGGCTCAACTGTGAACCCCGTGAGGGAAGGGACTGTGTGGGTCTCGCTCAGCTCTGCAACTCTAGGGCCAAGCATAGCACCCAACGGAGGGCAGCACTTAATACCTGACTATCACGGAAGAGTTCCTAAGACACAATGCTAAATACAAGGCAAGCTGTGAGACAGGTCCCACTCTTCATGTTTTGCCCTAATTATGTGTGTGGTGGCCGAAGGACTAGGACAGGTGTTAACCGTGCTTTCCTCCCGGGAGGGGAACAGGAAGACGAAGGAAGAATGAGACTCTCAGGAAGGCAGCCTGAGGCCCCAGGGGTCTCCCCACCTCCCTCCCCACCTTGTGATGACACCTGTGACCGACACTAATGAGCGCCCAGGGGCCAGAGCTGAGGGAACCTTTTGAGAACGACCGGGACAGCGGTGACAGGGTTTTTCTTGAGGCTCTCGATGATCTCAGGAGCCTTGTCCCCGTAGATGCGGTGGATGGCGCGACGCTGGATCACCTCCGACGTGCCCCCCAGACAGTCGTCCAGCCGGAACTTATCCTGGTCTTCCGGCGCCATCCGGGACAGCTTCTTCTGCACGCTTTCTAACACTCGGATGGTGGCCAGGTTGGTCTCCAGGACGACGTCTAACTATAGAGAGGAAGGCGGGCAGGGGTCAGTGGGGCCCTCGGGAAGGGCCTGGGCTGGCAGAAGGGATGGTTGGATGGAGCTAACAAGCTGCATGTCTGAGGGGTGTGACAGGCATTAGAAGGTGGGGCCCTGAGCAAGTGAGGCTGATTACTGGCTAGGATCGTCAGGGGAGGCACAGATGCAGGACCTGGTGCCGAGGGATGAGAACCACAGGCCATTCACTGCTGGCCGACTCCCTGTACAGGCACAGAGAGCAAGCTTTGCTTGGCAAAAAAGGGAACAGACCCGTGGTGCACTCAGCCCCTGGAAGTCTCTCAGGGCATGTGCAGGGAGAGCCAATCCCTAAAGGGGACATATCATGTGATTCTTTGTGTGAGAGATGAAGGGACAGGTCAGTGTTGCCAGGGGTGGAGGCTGGGCGGGGCTGGGAGGGAGGTGTTCAGACATAAAGGGCAGAAGGAAGGGTCCTGGGGGTAAGGAGCTGCTCAGTATCTTGGCTGTGGTGGTGAATACAAGAACATGCAGAGCTGAACACACATGTATGCACAATTCAATACATGCATGCCACATATGCACACAGAAATACAGCCCAAGGGGGCAAATGTGCCAATGTCACTGACCTCGCTGTAGTATTGTGACAGCGACTTATAAGCTGTTACCACTGGGGAAGGGAACCTGATTGCTGCATGTCAGCAAAATTTTCAAAAAATTACCTTAAGCTAACTTAATTTTTAAAATATGTTTTTATTGATTTTTAGAGAAAGAGGAAGGGATAGGGACAGAGAGATAGAAACATCGATGAGATAGCAACATCATCGATCAGCTGCCTCTTGTACAACCCCCACAAGCGATTGAGCCCAAAACTCGCACGTGCCCTGACCAGGAATTGAACCCACAACCTCTCGGCTCCTGGGTCAACACTCAACCACTGAGCCACACTGGCCAGGCAAGCTAACTTAACTTTAATTAACGAAATTAAATTCAAATACATTGCCTAGCCAGTCCGAAGGAAAGCAAGGCAGAAGAGATCTGTGAGGACCTGCCCTGTTGGAAAGTGCTGGCATCCCTGACACTCAAGAGGAGACGGGGGTGGGGTGGGTGGGGAGGTTAAGAAGGGTCAGAATACATCCCAGGATGGAGGGAGATGAGCAGGGGAGAGTGAGGGCTGTGCCATGGAGGATGGGGGACAAGGCACACCCCATGTCCCCACCATCCTGGCCAGGACTCAGGGCCACCCGAGGGCCCACAGCACCAGCATACACACCTCAAAACGCTCGTCCTCACAGCGGTGCAGCTGTTCCTCGTAGGGTGTCTTCTTAGAGCTGACAAAGGTAGAGTCCTCTGACCAAGACGGGAACGAGACCCAGGTGTCGTTCAGCACCTGCATCAAGAGAAAATGCTGTTACCCCAGGCAACAAGCCCTGGATGCCAGAACTGTTTACTGTACTGTTCAGTGTAGGAAATATAAGAAGTAATATCACCTGGATTTTACAGGAAATTCCTTATCATACAAACAGTAAATGTGATCAAGTGAACCCATCATAGTATTTCAGGGGTAGGCAAACTTTCTCTGTAAAAAGGCAGATAATGCATACTCCCACTGGACTGGCTCCTCAACTCATCCTAGATAATAAAAGGCTAATACGCAAATCGACCAAACGGCAGAACGACTGGTGGCTACGATGCACACTGAGCATCCAACACTCAACACAGGAGCTGTCCCCTGGTGGTCAGTGTGCTCCCACAGGGAAGCACCCTCAGCCAGAAGCTGGGCTCATGGCTGGCAAGTGCATTGGTGGCGGCAGACATCCCCTGAGGGCTCCCGGACTGCTAGAGGGCGCAGGCCAGGTTGAGGGTACCCCGCCCCCCCAACTGCACAAGTAGAATTTAAAAAAGTGTAAGCAAGTTCCAAGCAGCCACCGACCCTGAACCAGAGTCAGGATAGGAAGAAAATCAAAGAGGGAGGGACCTGTCATGCACATACATGCCAATGAGAACTACACCTCCAGGAAATCCATCTTCTCAGGGCAAAGCCCTCAGCACGATACATTTATGAATCAGAGCTTCTAACCTAACCATGGACTCATTCCATGTATCTGTCTACACCACAAGGCAGGCATCACATGCCTGGGCTCCCATCTTGTTTCGGCCAGATGCTTACTAGGACCAAAAACTGTCAGTGATTCCCCAGCCACCTGAGACATGGAAATCTACCTCAATAACTTTAAAGATGAGCCCGGCCAGTGTGGCTCGGTGGTAGAGCATTGACCTATGAATTGGGAGATCACAGTTCAATTCCCGGTCAGGGCACATGCCTGGGTTGTCGGCTCAATCCCCACAGCGGGAGGCAGCCGATCGATGATTCTCACTCAAAATTGATATTTCTATCTCTCTCCCCCTCTCTTTTCCTCTCTAAAATCAAGAAAAATATATATTAAAGCCCTTGCTGTTTTGGCTCAGTGGAGAGAGACTGGGCCTGTGGACTGAAGGGTCCCAGGTTCAATTCTAGTCAAGGGCATGTGCTCAGATTTCAGGCTCAATCCCCAGTAGGAGGCATGCAGGAGGCAGCTGATTGGTGATTCTCTCTCATCATTGATGTTCCTAACTCTCTCTCCCTCTCCCTTCCTCTCTGAAATCAATAAAAAAGTTTTATATATATATATATATATATATATATATATATATATATGCCAGATAATATTTAAATTTTGTGGGGTCTACTCAATTCTGCTTTAGTCTTAGTAAAGTAGTCACAGGCAATATGCAAATCAATGGGCGTAGCTGTGTGACAATAAAACTTGATTGACAAACACAACCAATGGACCAACTTTGTCCTGGGATTTGGCCCACAGGCAGTTCCTTGCTGATCCCTGGAACCCAGCAGGCACTCTTGAATTCTGGATATACAGTAACAGCCTGTCCTCTAACCCTGAAGAAGTATTCAATTGTCACACTAAACAAAAACATACTGAGGGCAGTGAACCCAGGACAGAGCAGGCTCAGCAAATGATGGAATGTGCCAACCCTACACTGGTGCCGTGGGCTCCATGGCTTACCAAAACTGCCAACAGGGTAAGAAACTCACCTCCATTCAGGTATTTTGTTTTGCCACATCCCCTACTCAACATTTAGGGGGCTGACACTCAGTCTTTCATCTGATATATGAGAAAGATGGGTATTTTTTTGGGGGGGATGGGGGGAACATGCACCACACAAGCCAACGTAAGCCCCAGGGAGCTACCTCCTTGCAGATGGCCGTCCTCCCACTGCACCTGGGCTGCTGATAAGTTTTGGGGAGCGCCCGATAGCTGGATCCAATCCGCTTGCAAGATGAATAGTCGATTTCCCGGCTTATTCCATCCCCAGATCTGTCGCTCATGGGCGGGGCGAATGATAGTTCCTTCACCCCCAGGAAGGACTTGAATTGTGCAAAAAGTTCAGGAAATTTCCTTTAGAATTAAAAACAGATGGTAAGTCGGCACCCTCAAGGCTTTCTGGGAGGGATCTAGAGATTTCAGAACGGCTCCACATAGACATCTGTACTTAAAGATGGTCAGAATGCAAGCTCAGGGAGGAGAGGCAGGAGGCCAGATGTGCATAAGTCCCCACTTGGGAGTGAATCTGCCCCCCAAAACTTTGTCACCAGTCAGGCCCCCAACTTGAGGAGGCCTTGAAACACTCTGGAAGAGACAACCTAGGCTGGCAGAAGATGGGTAGCAATGCTCCTTGACTGGAAGAGGCCAGGGTCGACCAACGTGCCCACACCTGTCTTTGTAGATCAAGTTTTACTGGCACAGTGACGTCCATCCTGACACACTGCTTGTGGCTTCTTTTGCACAATGCCAGAGTTGGGTAGTCCTAGTCCTGTCCCTTAAAGATCAGTCTGCCAAGCTCTGTTCTGCAGTCTTTCTCTCCCTGTGGGGAGACCCTCCTAGGAACACCCTCTATGGATACATTCTCCTAAGTCAAAATGTAACCGCCATGCTCGTTGATGGAAGTTTTTTGTGCAATCCATCCCAGTGTCACCTGGATTTATGTTTAAATAAGTGTCAAAGGCCACCTCATGAGTGCAGTCACTATGACAGCTGGCACAGGGATCCTGCCGTAACAGCTAGGCAGGCTCCTCCCCTGGGGCTTTCTTTGAGGCTAAATAGGTCACAAATACAGTTGTATATAACGCACACTCGCCATATTATGGATTCTATTTGAAGGGACTTATGCGTAGAGCCCACATGGAGCTTTCTGAAACTGAGGTCAGACTGGCTAAGAAACCTGCCCAACATGACAGGGCTGGTGAGAGGAGGCAATGCCGGGACCTGGCCAAGGCCCCTCCCTAAAGCTCCCTGTGCACGAACCGTGTGTTCGTGTCTACCTCCTACAACAGTGGTTGCCAACTGGTGGTCTGTGAGGTCCAAAAGGTTGGCAACCGCTGTCCTAGAACATCCACACCTTCCCAGCTGCTGCCCGAGCCTGGGGCTGCAGCCCACACACTGAGCAGGATGTGCTGGAAGCTGGTCGTTAACAGTGTTTCTCTTTGGGTGGCTGGGATGCCAGTCAGTCTTTCATTCTTCCTGCAATTTCTGATTGTTAGAATTTAAAAGCCTACATTGAATCTCCAGGGTGGAAAAGCTGATCCTGATTCCATTTATATAACACTTTTGTTGTGTAGGCGTTAGAGATGGAGCACAGAGATGGTTGCCAGGGGCCTGTGGCAGGGACTGGAGCAGGAAGCAAGAGGAACACAGGCTTGGATATCAAAGGTTTTGTGGTTCTGGAGCTATTGAGTATCATGACTGTAGTGAGACGCATTTTCTTCCCAGGTGATAGAATGTACGCACGCACACTCGTGCATACTAGAAATAGGGAAACCTGCACAGATGGGTGGGTTGCCCGAGTGTCACCATCCTGGTGTGGAAAACCAGACCTAGGATCTGCGTTCTTTCTCACTACTGCCGGTGAGTCTACAACAATCTCCATAACAATCTCCACTTAAAGACAGTATAAAAAAAGTACCTATCATCTTTCAAAACAACAGCCCAAAGACAGGTGGACAGAGTTTACGTGTGGAGCGCCTGGCGCAGTGTTGCTCACCCTAAGAACGGGCTGACGAGCTGGAGGAGCTCGGAGCCGGACACGAGCTCCTGGTTGAAGAGTGCGATGCAGCGAAGGAAGTTCTCATAGACCTCCTGGCTCTTCAGGACCCTGCGCACCTGCAGGGAGAGTACGTCAGGAGGCGTTGCGGGCTGGGCCCAGCCCTGGCCCCTGTGCCAACTTGGCTTAGCCATCACTAGGTACACCAAGTCACCAACATGAGCTTGCTCTAAAGTGATTGGCCGTGGTCTGCACGGCAACGCTCTCCCTGAGCATTCACAGGTCAGATAGCTCGGGCCATCTCGATGCTCAGGCCACTGACCCCGTGGAAGCCCCAGCATGAGCTCTGCTTTACAAGTCACACAGCTGGGGACGTGTGTTCTCAAACCCGGCTCGGCCCCGAGCTCTGATGCCTACAGCGCATCACCTGCCATCTGTTCAATGACGGCCCACACTCCCTTCCACTGTGAAAGCTGGTGCCAGGCCCTCCCCCCAGTCCCACGCAAGAGCTCCCCTCTTCCCCTGCTCCCTTCCCAGAAGCTCCCGCTCTGCACACCCGAGTGCCACCAGTCACCTTGTCAAAGAAGGAGAACTCCTGCAGAGTCCCGTACTTCCCCACAGCAGCGATGGACAGGTCCTTGGTACCACGAAGCTTCATTTTCTTCTGTGGAGAGAAATTCGTGTGTCAGTGCTGAGCATCCGTCTTTGTCGAAGCCAGCACGGCCAGCACTGGGTTCTTCTGACAGACTGGCACTGGGTGCTGGATGAGGTCTGCCCAGGACCCCTGTGGATGGCCGTCTCAGAACCACTCACCTCCACGGCCTAGTGAAGGGAGGAGGTCACGGGACTGCCCCACCCATAATCCGGGATCTAAGTCTCCACAGTTTAGGGCTTTTGAAAAACAAGCAGAAACATCATGAAGTTGGAATAGCAAGAGGGCTATCACCCTGGGTACAATATCAGAAACCCCGCCCTGCCTGCTATACCCTGTGAGCCACGGCCGTGATGGGAAAGGGACAGGAAGACGACAGCACTGGTGGGATCTCAGAGGCCCAGCTTTTAAGTCTCCGGAAGACTTTTGTCCCTAAGCTTGACTGGGACCTAAACTTGGCTGCACTCCTGGGGCCACAAAGCCATCTTCCGATGCCTGAAGAATGATGGAGACGTGTCAAGGGGACACAGGAGTCACCCCAAAAGGGCCGCACTGATCAAATTTGAGACAGATTGGGCATCAAGATAAACTGTTACAGATTATAACCCAGAGTTCATATTGACATAGGTAACTAAATAAATGGAGTAAAGAGAAGCCACCTAGTAGATGCACAAACAATGGTGGAATGAGAAAATCACTGTCACGGGTAATGAGTGCGACAGGAGCTAGACCTCAGCCCCTTCCATCCCTCAGCGGAGCACCCGGTGCAGGGACCGACCTGGGCCCCTGCCCATCACAGCCACAATGGTGACAAGGAGCAGAGTGAGCATTCCATCTGGTTTCTCGAGGAGGAGGTGACACTCCTCACAATCTTGTGATCCTGGGAAACAGATGAGCAGTACCCTTGGAGGTGAGCTGACTTCCCCAGTGCATTTCAAGCCAGACCAGGGACCAGACACGGCCTCTTGCCCAGGTCTGCTTGTTTGGGGCCTGCGAATGCTGCTCCCCAGTTCATGTGCAGAGAAGGCAAGGCTGCCGAGTGCCCACACACATGCATATCCACACCGAAGGCTGGCGATTACCTTGGCCGGTGCTGACACAGGACGGAAGAGAGAGGGCCGGGAGCGCTTTTTGCTGTGTTCCAGGTTCTTCTCGTGCTCACTCTTCTGGACACTGTTCATTTCGCAGGGCCCATTTCCTGTGAACTAAGGACACACACACAGGAGGCGGTTAGCCTTGGAGGGACACGGCTGGGCCCATCACTGCTGGTTCTCCACTTGTCTGAGTGCCTGGAACAGCCTTCAGCTCGGCCCCCAGCTCCAGAGAGCACTGTCTGCCACGGCCAGGGGCTCTGTTCTGTTCACATGTGAGGTGATCCCAACTCTTGAGATGCTTTGGGGAGAGACCCGTGTACCCAGATCATGACAGTGTGACAAATACCATGAGGCTGGGAGAAGGCTCACAGAAGGCCATGATGGAGGTTGGGTCCTGACAGGCGAGGGAGGCCATAGAGGGAACACTGGAGCTGGGCCTGGGTGTGTAGGGCTCACCCGTGGACCACTGATAATGAGGGTCTGGTGTTCAAGTGCATTCAGGAGGGGACTGGCACGCACAGAGCCTCAGCAGCAAGAGGAAGCAGTTGCCAGCCTCCAGGTCACTTGGCCGGGGCGGGGCAGGGCGGGGTGGGTTTCCAGCCCCATGTGTATTCTTTCCTATGAAGGAGCATGTCAGCACTTGGAGGGAGCTCATCGCTGGTACTCTCGGGCATCACACCAGCCATCAATGAACAGGTTAGGGATGTTTCTCCCAAATGTTAGCAACATTTACAAAAAACACATCTGGGAGAATCTAGTCAGAACTTGCATCTATGTGAATGTGCCGGAAAGCTGGGGTGGGTGGAGGAAGGTGGACAGACTGCAGCTTTCCTACAGGATATGGGAGGGCTGGGGAGAAACTCCAAGTCACCCACCACATTGTCATTCCCACCCCACCATGGGACCTGGACAAGAAGACACCACATGCCCAAAGCCTGAGCATGTCATGCTGCACCCAAATGAAACAGCATATATCTTCCAGGTAAGAGTGAGCTCTGCATCTGTGTGGCTCTGCCTGGGACCAGTGTACATGATACACTGCTATGTAAAACAGGAAAAGAAAAAAAAAATCTAAGCAAAATAAACAGGATGCCATTGTGGGGAAAAAAAAAAAAAGAAAAAAGATAGCCCTAGTCAATGTTCTCAATGGTTAGAGCACTGACCTTAGCACCAAAGGGTCACGGGTTCAACTCCAGAGGTCAAGGACATGTACCTCATACTTGGGTTGCGGGTTTGCTCCCCAGCCCTGGTCAGGGTGCGTGTGGGATGCAACCAGTCGATGTGTCTCTCTCACATCGATGTTTTCCCCAGCCCTCCCCTGTCTCTCCCGTTCTCTCCCTCCCTACCTGCTACTCTCTCTGAAAAGCAATGGAACTGAGTCTTTGCAGCACAGGATGCCTGGCCTGCAAAGCCCAAGATACCTGGCCTTCACAGGAAAACATCTGCCAACTCTGACCTAGGCCAAACAGTCAGATTTAATTAGGACATCAAATTTCATCTTGGTTTTTTTCACCCTGAAATTTAAATAGAAATCCAAATACTATATAATAAAGAGGTAATATGCAAATTGACTGTCATAACCTCACAAATGGCTGCCTACAACCAGGCCAGTGGGGGATGGAGGGATTGGGAAGTGTGGTCAGAGGTTAGTGAGGGACGACCCAACAGTAGGCTGAACAACTGAACAGTAGGCTGCGTGGGGCGCCCAGGCCAGCAGGGGGGTTAGTGTGGGACGACCGAACAACTGAACAGCAGGCTGTGTGGGGCGACCAGACCGGTGGGAGGGTCGTGAGGGATGAACAGGTTGGTGGGGGGTGGGGTGGGGGTGGGACAGTTGGGGGTAACCAGGCCAGTGGCAGGGGAGGGGCAGTTAGGAGCAACCAGGTCGGCAGGGAGGGAGCAGTTGGGGGTGATTAGGCTGGCATGCAGAGGCAAGTAGGGGTGAGAAGGCAGGCAGGTGAGCAATTAGGAGCCAGCAGTCCAGGATTGTGAGAGGGATGTCCAACAGTCCCAGATTGGAAAGGGTGCAGGCTGGGCTGAGGGGCCTTACCCCCGTGCACATATTTTGTGCACTGGACCTCTAGTATTAATATAAAGCATCATAATATAAAGATCACTTTATATAACAAATTGTACCAGTACATGGGTGTTTTTAACAATTTAAACATTGACTCAATCTTTCTAAATATATAAGGTAGCTCTAATCCCCTAGCATACTCTAAAATATTGCTGAATTGATAACAAATGCCATTTAAAGAAAATGTGGGCAGGCAGTTTTCTGGGGGAAATGCCAATTTTGTAAATTTCCAGCCATGCCCACCAGGGGGTGCTGTGACCACATCCATCAGAGGACAAGAGACTCTACTCACTGGCCATCCACCAGTGCTTGAAGAATCAACAACAAGATGAAATTTCATCAGAACTAAGACCACCCTTGCCAAAAATTGCTAAGAGTTGGAACAAACAGTATAGACAGACAATTTTATCAGTTACCTACTGTCTCTTGTGCAATGCCCCCATAACCCCAATGGACAGCATTCTTCACCCACTATACCGACTACCAGGGAGGTTCAGTAGCAAAGACCCAGGCTCATCCCTAAGGATTTTTCCAACTGGCCCAGGAAGAGAGGGTCACTTTCTACAGGCTCCCAAAGTGACCTGCCAGGCTCTCACAGCAAGAAGGTGACAAGAGCCGGGACCGGTTTGGCTCAGTGGATAGAGCGTCGGCTTGGGGACTGAAGGGTCCCGGGTTCGATTTTGGTCAAGGGCATGTACCGTGGTTGCAGGCATATCCCCAGTAGGGGGTGTGCAAGAGGCAGCTGATCGATGACTCTCTCTCATCGATGTTTCTAGCTCTCTATCTCTCTCTCTTCCTCTCTGTACAAAATCAATAAAATATATTTAAAAAAAAAAAAAAAAAAAAAAAAAAAAAAAAAAAAAAAGAAGGTGACAAGATGAGACTAGACCAAGGTGTACAATCATGAGCCCTTGCTGCTCCAGGCACTGCACCCACTACCTCTGGTCAAGACAGGTGCCCATCTCCCTGAGAAGATGGGATTCAAGGAAAAAGCTGCCTATGCTGAGATGCAAGGCCCAGATCCAAGAGGATGAGTGCCAAGGGGTCTACAAAGCATACAAGGGGGCAAGATGGAGCTTCAGAGTATGACAGGATGTAGCTTGAACCACCAGGGATGCAGAAGGAAGCAGAGGGACTTGCCGAGAAAATAAAGAGTACTGAGCACATGCTGGGCCACAAGTGCAGAAGGCACTTGAGGTACAACAGCTTGTCGAGTCCCCATCTAAGCAGGAGACAGGAAGGAAACAAGGCCCGGGAGACACTGGCTCAAGCCCACCTATAGCACCCGAGGAGGCCAAGCAAGTGCCCTGGTCCAGGCTGTGTTCACAGGGTTCAGGGAGGATGCCTTGGGCTCCAAGCAGGTTGAAAGGATGGGCTGAAGCTCCAGCACTTAATATCAGCCCCACTGATAGGCACAGAGCTTCTCCAACTTGGAGTCAGGAAATATTTCCTGGTGGCATCCTTGCTTAGGGATCTCACTAAGTGTCCTGGAGACAGTGACATGGGCAGGGGAAAGAAGGGTGGGCACGTGAGACAAGCCCCAGCCCACGTACAGGAAGTTGCCTGACTGGACCAAGAGTCTTCAGGGCATCCAAACCCAGACTCCTGCTGCCCCTGATCGCCTCCCTTTGAGACCACCCTCACAGCATCTTCATTCAGAAGCAGAAACCACGGGGGAGGTGGTGATGAAGTGTGAGGTGTAAGTGTTACTTCTGTGCTCACACTCCAAGTCATCATCAGGACAGAGAGGAAAAATGTAAAGAGGAAGTGGAAGTCAACAAACTAGGAAGAGAAGGGAACTTCCTCAATCCAATAAAGGGCATTTATGAAAAATCCACAGCTCATGGCACACTCAGTGGTGAAAGACTAAAATCTTTTGCTCTAAGATCATGAACAAGACAAGATGTTTGCTCCCACCACAGTACTGGAGGTTCTACCAAGGCAATTAAGAAAAAAAAAGGGGGGGGGCACTGAATTGAAAAGGAAGAGGGAAACTATATTAGGTGACATGATCTGATACATACAAAATCCTAGCAAATGCACAGAAACAAAGCTAATAATTGAATTAAAAAAACTACAGGCTACAAAATCAACACACAGAAATCAGTGGTGTTTCTATATGCTAGCAATGATCAAAAATGCAATTAAGAAAATTTCCTTTCCAGCCGAGACCGATTTGGCTCAGTGGATAGAGCGTCGGCCTGTGGACTAAAAGGTCCCAGGTTCGATTCCGGTCAAGGGCATGTACCTTGGTTGCAGGCACATCCCCAGTAGGGGGTGTGTGCAGGAGGCAGCTGATTGCTGATTCTCTCTCATTGATGTTTCTAACTCTCTGTCCCTCTTTCTTCCTCTCTGTAAAAAAATCAATAAAATATAAATTTAAAAAAAAAGAAAATTTCCTTTCCATTAGTATAAAAAATAATACTTAGGAATAAGTTTAACCAGGGCAGTGTAAGACATGTACACTGAAAACTATAAAGCATTGCCGAAACCGGTTTGGCTCAGTGGATAGAGCGTCGGCCTGCGGACTGAAAGGTCCCAGGTTCGATTCCAGTCAAGGGCATGTACTTTGGTTGCGGGCACATCCCCAGTGTGGGGTGTGCAAGAGGCAGCTGATAGAAATGGAAAAGCTGATCTTCAAATTTATATGAAATTATTATACAAGGGGCCCTAAATAGCCAAAACATTCTTAGAAAAGAACAAAACTGGAGAACTCATATTTCTGGCTTTCAAACTTACTACAAAGCTACAGGAAACGGGACAGTGTGGTGCTGGCTCATGATTGTACACCTTGGTCTAGTCTCATCTTGTCACCTTCTTGCTGTGAGAGCCTGGCAGGTCACTTTGGGAGCCTGTAGAAAGTGACCCTCTCTTCCTGGGCCAGTTGGAAAAATTGTTAGTGAGAACATAAAATGGTGCAGCTGCTTATGGAAAACAGTTGGGCAGTTCTTCCAAAACACAGAATTGCAACAAGACTCAGTAATTCCTCTCCTAGGTATAGACTTCAAGGAATTGAAAACAGGGACTCAAACAAATCCTTAGACACACATGTATACTCACAATAGCCAAAAAGTAGAAATGACTCAAGTGTCAACTAAAGCATAAAGAGTATGGTCCAGCCCTGGCTGGGCTCAGGGGTTAGAGCATAGGCCTGCGAACCACAGGACTGTGGGTTTGATTCCCAGTCGAGAGCATATACCTGGGTTCCAGGTTCAATCCCCAGCTCCCACGTCTTACATGCCCAAGAGGCAACCAATTGATGTGTCTCTCTCACATCAATGTTTCTTTCTCTCTCCTCCTCCCTTCCTCCCACTCTAAAAAATTCAATGGAAAAATTATCCACTGAGCCCTGGTTACAAGGCAGGTGGCTCTGCGGTCCTTGTCATAGGACTAAAGGTCAGGAGGAATACAAGGTCCCCTCCCCTGATCTCCTCCACCCACCAAAGCAGCCCTTGCCATCTGGCACTGTCCACACTGAGAAGCCCTCATCAGGATCGACTCCCACTTGACATGGAGGTGGAGCCTGTGATGGGAGCCTCCCTGGGAGCCTGTGTGGCTCCCGTGGGAAGCCAGTATGTCCTGGCGTGGCTCGGGGGCTGCACTGAGGCACGGGGCCGTGGCTGAGAAGGTGCCCCTGGGCAGGGTGGGTGCTCTGTTACTCACCAGGGACCGCTTGGCTTCAGGCAGGAACTGTCCAAATTCTGAGAGCAGGTCCTCCTGGCCCCGGAAGAGGTTTGCCACCTCGGTGAACACCTCCTCTTCAGACATGCCTCGGAAGGGCCGGCCCTTTGTGCCCAGCTGCTCTTTCTGCCAATTGGTGGGAAAGAAAAATGAGTTGTTAGCCAAGGAACCAGGTTCTTAGGCTGTGACATTCAGGCATCACTGTGGAGGAGACGGAAGGACTACTACTGGGAGAGAAGGGCCCACCTTGGGGTGCCCCGTATCGGGCTCCCCTGCCTGGAGAACAGTCCTATGTGCTTGTGTCCGAACCCCGTTCCACAGCACAGCCTGAGCCCTGGCCTTGGATGGGGCCTGTGCTAGGAGAGTGGAGGGGATGTGGGCAGGGACATGGTCTCAGCCCGCCCAAGGGTAAGAGAGCATGTTTTGCCGGGCAGGGGAATGTGGAACTAGTGCTGGGCCTTCAAGGAAAGAAGGTAAAGAGAAGGGCCACCAAACGGTTCACCAGTCGCCAATACTTGAAGATGGCCTGACTCAGAGCTCAAAGTAACAATATAAAGACCGGCAGGGACCTGGGTTGGGAGGGCAGGAAGCTAAGAGCAAAACTCAAGTTGGATATCCTATATAATAAAGAGGTAATATGCAAATTGACCCTCACACCCTCACACAAGATGGCCACCCCCATATAATCAAAGATGGCTGCCACAAGATGGTTGGCAGGGGAGGATAGTTGTGGGCGATCAGGCCAACAGGGGAGGGCAGTTGCGGTGGAACCGAGCCGGCAGGGAAGGGCAGTTGGGGGCAACTGGGCTGGCAGAGAGGGCAGTTAAGAGGCTACCAACTGGCAGGGGAGGGCAGTTAGGAGCAACCAACCAGGTGGGCACGGGAGGACAATTGGGGGGACCAGACCTGCAGGGGAGGGCAGTTGGGAAGGGATCAGGCCTGCAGGGGAGGGCAGTTGGGGGCACCAGGCCTTCAGGGGAAGGTAGTTGGGAGGGGGGGGCGGGACCAGGCCAGCAAGGGAGGGCAGTTGGGGGCAATCAGGCCAGCAGGGGAGCAGTTAGAGGGTGATCAACTGGCAGGCAGGTGAATGGTTGGGAGCCAGCAGTCCGGGATTGTGAGAGGGATGTCTGACTGCTGGTTTAGGCCCAATCCTGGGGGGTCTCAGATTGGAGAGGGTGCAGGCTGGGCTGAGGGACAACACCCCCCCCTCCAGTGCACAAATTTCATGCACTGGGTCTCTAGTTAAAAATAAGTTCCTTTCAACTTTACACCTGAGGATATGACCAAGTAAGAGGTGTTAAGGCCGGGGCCCTCTCAGAGTGAAGGACATTCCCATCAGTATGTCTACTCCACAGCTACAAAGGGGAATGAGCCCATGTCTCCCTTCCTCCTGGCCTGCTGCACCTGAGGGAAGCGAGTTTTCAATCCTGCATCGGTAGCACCTATTGAAAAGGGGGAAATAACTGCTTTGTTCCCCATCAAAGCCACCAGACACATGAAAGACAAAGGGAAAATGGGCAAAGACCACTCAGTTCAGAGAATTAAGTCACCTCTATACACATGAAACAATGACCAAACTGGGTGATGTTTAAAGAAAAATGTCAAACAGTGCCACTTGGCTTATTGGATCAACAAAGATGAAAAGGACTGGTTTTTCCAACGAGGATGTGGGAACCACAAGGTGGAAAGGAAGTCTGGCACAGGGAAGCGTGGTGCTATCTATGACCACGTGACGGACGCACACCCTGACTTAGGGACACACACTCTGAAATGTTCCTAGAGATGGTCAGTTCTGTTCTAACATTTGTTTTGAAAGCGCATCTGTTTGAGCTCGACATGTACTAAGGAATCATCTGAGTGCAGCGTGGATTTTATGATTGCTTATGTGAGAAGCCCTGGGTAAGAGCAGAAAATTGCACTGTGTAGTGTGGGAATCTAACTGCCCTCCATCAACACCTGTTAGGAGCAATCTGCCATACCTGTCAGGAGTGACCAGCCATCCCCATACCCATCGGGAGTTACAATGTCTGTCCCATTTCAGGAAATCTCCTCCCAGCATCTCAGTGACCCACCGGCTGCAACCTTCCCACACCCACACATGAACCACAAGTCTTTTGAAGGTCAAGTGCCAGAAGTGCTGTGGTATTTATGTCATTCTTAGCCATTTAATGTTTACAATAAAGTTGCCATTTTTAGTAGGTGCCTCTTTAACGTGTCACTAACAGTTTCCCAGTGTCGTGTTCTGACCCTGTTTTCCCATAAGCCCTGTGGCGCGTGCAATTTCCAGAGCAAGGTCACTTCTAGGATGTCACGTGTCATATCAGGGCAGAACTGGCTGTGCTCATCCAAGTACACATGGGACATCTGTATGCAGCTGGATAATGGGACCAGCTCTCCATAGCTGACCCTAGGCAAGCACTGTGCGTTGAGGACCTTAGTAAAGCTGCATTTAATTCAGGGGTCAGCACCACCAGTGTTATAGCCATTTGATAGATTAGAACCTGAGGTTCAGGCAGGTGAGGGAAAGGGCTCAGGTGGCAGAGCTAAGATCTGAACCAAGACCTAACAGACATAAAACCAAGGAACACACAGCTAAATTTACCCAGAGTTGTTTGCTGTGGGCCTCAGTGTCTTTTAAATATCAATAAAATATATTTTAAAAAAAAAAAAAAAAGATAACTCACACAAAAACTCAGGCTCCTGGCTCCTCCTGAAGAAATGGTCAGCCTCAGGTCTGGGTCACCAGGAGGCTTGTTTGAAATGCAGGTGCTGGGCCAGATGTGAGGGGTCATCCTGGGATGAGTCCCAGGCACCAACCAACTCTCAGAGGCTCTGGCTGGAGGACACCAAGCTGTACCTTCACCATTGAGTCTTCTCTGAATGAGTCTGTGTCCCGTCAATATAATCTTAGATAAATAAGTCTAACTTCTCTGCCTCTTCATTACCATCAACAGAACAGACACCTCCCAGTCTCCTCTCTATAATGGTTCTTCCAGCCCCTAAACTATGACCTCATGGAAGCTATGAAGGACCCATAAGGTTCTATGTTCCCAAACATCACTGCCCCCACCCCCAGATTGAATGCTGACAGCTGCCACTGCAATTTCTCATCTGTGAGAAGCAAGTTCTTACTCCTGCACAGCACTACATACTAGACATGAGCCAGATGGGCCATGCACACCGCCAGCACCACTAGCAAAAGTTTGGCAAAAGTTTGTTGCATCAAAACAGCTCCCCTAGGTTTTAAAGGAACTAGTTATCTGACTGTACACACTGATGCTAAAGAAAATCCCACTTCTTTATTTCACTTATCAAGGTTGTGCAGAAGATTTCATTTTTTAAAGTGGGTTCTGCTGTTTAGGAAAATAAAAGGTGTCAGAAACTCCATGTGTGGAAGAGGATGATGCCCAAGCCCTTGCATGACACAGATGTCCCTCACCACTGGCCTGCCTGTGCTTCCTGTTAAGTCTCCTTTTAACCCCTCGACCTTCGCATGGGCTGTTCCCAACACTGAGAGTCCATCCTTCATCTGATGGGTCTGGCCCATTTGTCAAGATTCAACCCGACTATCTTCTCTTGACCCTTACATGGTTGGCAACCATTAACCCTGATCTACTTCTTTGCATTTCCCTTCTTTTCCACCCTAATTATCACAAGTTTCTCCCACTTCTAGACTGAACTCCTAAGCAGCAGCAACCATTCACCCGTGTTGCCTCAGTGCCTGCACAGCTGTAATCAGCAGAAATAAAAACTGTGTGGTCTAAATAATAATGAAGTCGTCTTATAACAAGAGCACCTTTAGGTTATTTTTTAATCCGTCTGAGGTATGTTTCCTTGGGTACAGAGCTGCCTCAAGGAGTGCATTAAAAACATAACTAAACCAAACTCCAATAAGTATTTGTACACCCATGTTCAAAGCAGCCAAAGTGTAGAAGCAATTCAAATGTCCATCAAAAGATGAATGGATAAACAAAATCTGTTCCATCAACACAATGGAGTATTGTTCGGCCTTAAAACAGAAATTCTGACACATGCTACAACACGTGCTGAGTGAGATAAGCCATTCACAAAAGGACAATTACCGTATGATCCCACTATATGAGGTCCCTAGAGGAGTCAAAAAATTCATTGAGACAGAAAGAAGGGTGGGTGCCATGGCTGGAAGAGGATGGGGAGTCAGTGTCTAATGGGGACAGAGTCTCCGTTTTACGAGGTGAAAAGAGTTTTGGAGCAGGATAGTGGTGATGGCTGCACAACAATGTGAATGTACTTAATGCCACTGAACCGGACACTTAAACGTGGTTAAAATGCCAAATTTTACATTATCTACATTTTATCACAGTAAAAAAATTAATGCAAAAACAAGAACTTAATCAGATTTTTACAGGATTCCATGAATTCAGACAAGAAAATGCACCCGACATTGGATTACACCAGGAAGAGCCGCAGGGAAGTGTGGCCTGAGGGAGCCTCTTACCTGGTAAGTATGCAGGATCTCCAGGAATGACCTGTAGATCTCAGGGTGGTCCAGAAAGCGGGTCTTAATCTTGTTCACATAGCTGATGGCGTTGTTGAACTCCACAGAATCCGACTCCAAGGGCACCTGGGGCTTGTCCTCTTTGTACAGCAGCTGTTGTTTGTAGTTCTCAGTACAGTCGCTGTGGTTGTGCGAATTCTCCTGACAACAATATGACAGTGACTGTCGGCCGGATACCAGAAATAGATAGCGACAAACGCCAGACCAAACACCACTATCTGTATGAGAAAAGACAAAACCTCGCACAAAGCCAAGTATTTCAATCAGAGGTAGAAAAAAGGTGCCGCCTGCGGGCCTGGAGGGAGGAATGTGATGGGGAGCCCACAGAACAAGCAGGTGGCCGAGACCGGTTTGGCTCAATGGATAGAGCGTCGGCTTGGGGACTGAAAGGTCCCGGGTTCGATTCCGGTCAAGGGCATGTATCTTGGTTGCGGGCACATCCTCAGTGGGGGGTGTGCAAGAGGCAGCTGATCGATGACTCTCTCTCATCGATGTTTCTAAATTCTCTATCTCTCTCCCTTCCTCTCTGTATAAAAATCAATAAAATATATATTTTTTTAAAAAGAACAAGCAGGTGGCTCCTCCTGGGCCTGCTGTGGTCTGTGCTCTCCTGGGCAAGTCTTATGAACTTGCCTCCGCCTGATCCTTTTCAACTGATTCAGAGAACACGAAGGTTTCAGAAACACTCTACACTTTAAAAACTTAGCATTTGCAAGAAATGTATAAAATGTGGATTGCTGAATCATTTTCAGAGTGGAGTTTTGGCCTCTTTATAAAAGAAATCTTCCTACACTTTTTGCCAGCCCATTTCAGCAAGATTGTTTTCAGCTGTAAAGCACCTACTCTTAGCAGGTATGAAACTGGGGCCCTGCAGATAAGGGGGCCCACTGTCCAGACTACACGGAACTGCGGGACTTTGGGTGTTAGCCCAGGGCAAGTCACTTGAGAGAAGAGATGGGCCCTGTCCAGTCATCAAGCATGCTCTTCATTTGTGTGCTTTCCCATCAATACAAATAAAAAAGACACACATGTCTCTCTCCTGTGCACTCAGAATCTTAGTGGGACAGGACCCACGCCCACGGCGATATTTGTGTTTCTTAACTGGAAGTTTGCATGCGGTTATGACAGCTTCTCTCGGCCACTGACAGGAGCCGGGCCGTCAGGAGTGACCCTCGGCATCCTGCAGATCCCCAGCAAGCAGAGGCTGTTTCCCAAGAAGTCTTCTGGAACCATCCTGTGCCCAACTCAAATGCCCCCGTCTCTCAGCATTCTGAGCCTCTTTCTTGCTGTTTTCCTCTTACTGTAACATATTGTACTTATTTTGTTGTCTGCCCACCCTGACCAGATGGCAAACATCATGAAGACAGAGAAGACAGAGATTCTATTTTGTTCACAACTACATCCCCGATGCCTGGAACAGAACTTGGGACAGAGTAACCTTCCCCCACTGCTGGGGAATGATCAGATGAACAGGTGAAGGAACAAACTTCTACTGTTCCCACCACCCGGGCGCCCAGCAGCCCACCTGCACTAACCCCTGGCCAAGAAGGCTCTGGAGTGGGATGAGAACTGCTGGGCACACTGTCTGCCCATCAGCTGGGTGGGTGTACCAATCTGCTGGAGATGCCAGAACAAAATACCACAGACTGGACACCTTCAATTACAGGAGCTTATTCCTCAGAGGCCTGGAAGCTGGTTTCTCCTGAGGCCTCTTGGCTTGTAATAATAGATGGCCACCTTCCCATGGTGTCCTCACATGGCCGTCTCTCTGTGTGCACCCAACCCTGGGTCTCTCTCTGGGCCCAGATTTCCTCCGGACACCAGTTAGATCGGATTAGGGGTCATGATCTCTGTAAAAACCTATCTCCAAATATAGTCCCATTCTAACACACTGAGGGTTAGGCCTTCAATGTATGAATTTGGGAAGGGGACACAATTCAGCTGGTAACAGTGGGTGCAGAGGCAACTCCAGAAAGTCTGAACTGAGGAGAGCAGACACACAGCAGATCCAGAGCAGCCACAATTCTCAACGCCACTTCTCCTGGGCAGTGAATTCATTCTAAGACACTCTGGGGTGTTCCTGCTAATTACCTCCCAGTGGAAGATGGAAGGAGCAGGGAGAGGGAACAGCCTTCGGGTCAGGGTTTGCTTTACAGAAGGCTGTGCATTCACCCAAAGCTCCCCACGACTCCACTCCGAGGGGGCATTTTCAAGTGCCACATTCCCCTTCCACTCCCCCTGGAGTGAGCCACTGTGAGTACGTCATATCTGTACTGCAACAGTTCTCACTTCAACTATGCAAGCACCTCAAGAGCTAGAACTTCCAATAAACCTCAGGGCCTGACACAGAGATGTCTATACTTACTCTGTGAGTGACTTAGGCACAGAGATGATCTGCCAGGAAGAGACTGAACTTCCAAATGACTCTCCCCAGAAAGAGGAAAGCAGGCCTCCCTTTGAAGGCAATAGGGCCCCTTTCTTACAAGCGGCACCTAAAGGTTTATCTGTTTGTTTATCTCTGTCCCAGCTGGCCACCATCGCAGCCAAGCATAAAGTCTGCTTCGAGATGACAGGATCTGCCCTCAAGGGGACCCACTGACATAGTTTCTCCCCTGACAACATGTGCCAAAAGGACGACGGTCATGACCAAGACAGGCGAGGGTCATGCCTGATCAGGAGGACTCCCAGTTTTCCAGGGAAGGCAAATCAACAAGAAACAGTGGCTTTTTAATTTTTTCCCCCCTGCCTTTGCTACTCTGAAATATACAAAGTGTGGTGCGAGAATGACTTGGAGGTGACAATGGAGGGACTACAGAGGTGAGGTAACAACTGAGGTCCAGGTGACTGGATCCAAAATAGTGCCGAGTCAGCAGGCTGAGGCCCCAGCAAGCGGATGTTCTTCGCACCATGGTCCCTGGCCCTCCCCTGGCCATGCTTCCCCCATCATGGCCCACGTCCGTCAGTCCTCCTCTACCGACTAGTGTTCTCAGCTGGGGTGCTTCTGCCCCTCAGGGAACACTTGGCAATGTCTGGAGATGCTTTTAAGTTGTCATACAGTGCTACCGGCACCGGGTAGGTGGAGAAGAGAGGCTGTTCGGTACCTTGCAGAGCACAGGACGCCTCTAAGGGAAAGAATGATCCAGCCCCAAAGGCCACGGTGCCAAGGCTGAGAAACACCAGGCGAGGGGCTCCCAAAGGCTGGAGCACCCTTTCTTTTCTTCCTCAGCACCTCAGAGCTACTCTCTCCTGGTCTGTAGTTGACAGGACTCATGAAAAGTGAAAAATGAAAAGAATAAAGCTGTACTTCAAAACAGTGAGACTATAAAAACCAATTTTTAAAAAGTCACTAGGGCACTGTGTATAGGAAGCCGTGTAACGATCTCCAGCTATTCTAGCCTCTCAAAGGACTCCAGGAAGCCGGCAAGCTATGTCATTTATGCCTGGCATTGAGGACACTAACAAAGGAGGTTGAAAACCCTGCTGGTCCTAACTGTTGACTGAAGCTGTGTGGGCTGGTATGTTCCAGAATGCACCTCTCCAGCTGAGGGAGCAGGCCCTGGATGTGGCTTCTTCCAGCTGAAACAAGACTTTAAGCCCTTTAGTGGCTGTTAACTAAGTTCTCTCCCGCCTTCCTTCGAGTTAATGAACCTTCATCACCTAAGGGAGCCAGGAGGAGACAGATTGATCTGTCCGTTTCCTCTACCAGAGCCCTCCCTGGAGTGTGTACCAGCAGGGGCCCCGTGGCTAGTTTGGGCAGGGCCACCACTGAGCAGTTCACGTGGAGATCCAGCCCCAGAGCAGAGGGACTCCCACAGGCAGAGACCGAGAAAGGCCGTGTCCATAGAGTGAGCACAATTCAGAACTTCCATCCTGCTCTTTCTTAGCAAATGATGGTAACGACACCCTGAGTTTCTAGCACTTCAGACTCACCAAGTGCTCCATGCACATTATTGCCAGCGAGCTTGGTTTCCTCCCCAGCTGTGACTATTTCAAAGATGAATCCTGCCAAGGCTTTTGCTGTCTGGAGGCACGAGTCCCACATCTGGATCTGCAGCTCCATTCGAAAATGCGAAATGGAAGCTCTTTGGAATTCAGCAGCCACAGGCTTCCAAGTTCCTTTTTCAAACCGAGATGTGCTCCTCAGCTTTACTAAGACAACACACTGAAGGTGGAGCTTGCCTTATGAAGGCCTCACTGTCTCCTTTCTAACCTGACTCCCTCCTTTAATAGGACACTCTCATCAGAGGAGAAACCTGCAAGATGCTTCCCTACAGTAGATTTTTACCTTCCCCATTAGAACCCCGGCCCCAGAGATGGAGGAGGTTTTAAGAGCAGGTTCACTTAGACCAGTGGCACTCACCAGGGGCAATTTTACCCTCAGGAGACACCTGGCAATGTCTGGTGACATTTCTGACTGCCTCCACTGGGTGAGGACCTGGTAAGTAGAGTCAGGGACACTAACTACTAAGCACCCTCACTGCTCTGGTCACCCTCCACCCCCGCCACTTGCAGCTAAACATTATACCTTATATTGCACCAGGGCCGAGGTGGGGAAAACAATAATGATCTTATAAAAGTAAGGCTCAAATAGGCTTTCGGATTCCAGATAAAGGAGACGGCAAGCTGTCCTCGAGAGAAGAGACCAAAGCCACAAGCCTGAGCTGAGCCAGTGGCTCTGCTGGGGATTATAAAAATGGCCATTAACACCCACATCCCAACGGCTTCATTTTATGTGGCACCAAAGGTGATCGGAGTAATCACATGCCCAAGTACAAGCGTGACCTGCCTGGTGCCCTCACCGGGAAGGCCTCAGGGCAAGAGCTCGGGCACCGAGGATGAGGTTATTACGAGGTTATGATGACAGGGCATAAAACAGTACAAGACAATGCCTCCCTGACATTCACAAGCACAGCCCCTTCAAACGACCAATCTGGGAAGCAGAGGCTGCCTGGATAGGTGTTTCTACCTATTTAGATTTGTGCTAGGATTAGCATGTCTAGAAAAAGACTGGTACTGGTTTTCCGGAAACACAATACACCAGACACGCGTCCGACCTGAGTCCCCGAGGACCAGTAAAGGCTGCGTTAAGGCCCAGATCACTCAATCCACTGCAGCAGCATACCTGGCTGGACAGAGGTGACTGAATGTTTAACTTGCCATTCTTGGGAATGTCGATTCTGTAACCCAGGGGAAGGAAAGCGTTGAATCCAACAATGAGATCAGGGTGTTCGTGGAAGAGCTGTGAGACTCGTCGGATGACTCCAGGAGTATCGATGCTGGAATAAAGATCACGAGTGGGCAAAAGCGTCTTGGGAAACCAAAGTAAAATCTATTCTAGACTCCATGACAGTGCCATGTGACCAGCTTCTCACTGACCACAAAGCACCCTAAAATGTGACTGGGGGGAGTCTGCTGACGGTGATGTACTTCTAGGGCAGCCAGGCCTGGGCTCCCTGTGCCCCTGGAGAGAACCACAGAACAGTCACACAGCACAGCTCCCCAAAACACTCCAAGCACCTGTAACTCAGTGCCAAAAATATCAGGTGACTGTGAGTCCTGGACTCGAAACCCTCTAAATGATGAGATGAGATGCATTCCCTTATTTTAAATGACTTGGAGATCAACTATGACATAGCAGTTGATCCCAGCAGCTGATTACAATGCATAAATACCAAGGGCCCTACAAGTATGGGAACTGCTTAAAAATTCGAGGGGCGGAAGGGGGTCTCCCCTCATGGCTGCAGCTAGGGTCAAGGCCTTGGCAGAGCGCTTGTCCAAGAACCCAGTCCCTGCCATATTTCCTCAGAGGGAGAAGCAGCATGGTAGGAATGTGATCATGGAGAACCTAAGTCTCAGAGGACCCACGTTCTAGTCCTGCACTGTCCCCTAAGCCTCAGCAAGCCTCCTGTCACACGAGGGCATGATTGTGAGGTCGCCTACAGACCTCTAACCCTCCTGATTCTGTGCCCACAAACACAGCTAATGTGTTTTAAAAGCCTCCTAAAATGCCAGGATGGGGGTAGGGTGGGGATTGGTAAGGTATGTACACATATAATACCTTAATTAAAAAAATGAGAAAAATAAAATAAAATAAAATAAAATGCCAGGAACCTTACTAAGCATTTTATGTGCATAACTTCCTAGCAGGCCTGGGACTAGGGGGATGTGTGAGTGAGACATTCACCTTGGGGACAAGATTTGGGGGGAGAGGGGGAGGAGGGAGAGGGTGCCAAAACATTCAATAATCAAAATAACATTTTAATGCAGTGCTTTAAAAATATTTTTTAAAGTAGGGATAAACAAAATTCTTTAAAAAAAAAAAAAGCCAAACTGGTTTGGCTCAATGGATAGAGCGTCGGCTTGGGGACTGAAGGATCCCGGGCTCGATTCCGGTCAAGGGTGTACCTTGGTTGCGAGCACATCCCCAGTAGGGGGTGTGCAAGAGGCAGCTGATTGATGACTCTCATCGATGTTTCTAGCTCTCTATCTCTCTCCCTTCCTCTCTGTACAAAATTAATAAAAAATATATTAAAAAAAAAAAAAAAGACTGCTTTAAAAAAAAAAATTAATCCAGCCCTAACCGGTTTGGCTCAGTGGATAGAGCGACGACCTGCCGACTCAAGGATCCCAGGTTCAATTCCAGTCAAAGGCATGTACCTTGGTTGCAGGCACATCCCCAATGGGGGGTGTGCAAGAGGCAGCTGAATCAATGTTTCTCTCTTATCGATGTTTTTAACTCTCTATCCCTCTCCTTTCCTCTCTGTAAAAAAATCAATAAAATATATATATTTTTAAAAATCCAACATTTTGAAGACAGACTCTCCACTGGTCGGACTCGCCTCTCTCGCCTCACTCCCATACTTGCTCTCCTCCCGGGAACCCCCATAACAGCTCCACAAAAGGAAGACTCTACACACTCGTTTTTCGAAGAAACTGAGGCTTCCAGAGGTTCGACAACCTGTGCAAGGTCACGCAGCTGGGGCACGTCCACCCGCCCAGCCCGACCGCGGCCCCCCCGGGGTGGGGAGGGGTCCCCAGGGTGGGGAGGGCCCCCCCGCAGGTACCTTTGGCTTTTGAACTCCTTCATAATTTCCAGGAAGCCGTTGTACGTGGCGGGGTCGCTGCCGAAGCGGATCTTCACCTGGTCCAGGTAGGTGAGGGCGTCCTCCACCTGCGAGGAAAGGGAAGGGGTGGGGGAGGATCCCCACGGGACCGGGTCAGTGGAGGGAACTGGGGGTGCAAGTCTCCGGCGGGGAGGGGGACGGACCGGCCACCGCGGGGGACCGCGGTGAGAGGTCAGGGGTCCGGGGTCCGGGCCGCACGGAGGAGGGGCCGAGGTGGGGCCGGGCGGGGCCCAGGCTGGGGGGCGCGGGGTCGGGCGACGGGGTTCCCGAGGGAGGAAAAGGGCGCCACTCACGTGCACCGGCAGCTTCTCGTGGCCCCCCGAGCCCGAGCGACCCCAGCGGGCGCCACTCAGCCCCCGGCCCCCGGAGCCGCCGCAGCCGCCAGCGTGCGCCATGTTGGAAGCCAGAGCCGCGGTCCGCCCCGCCCCCGCCCGTGGGCAGGACGCGCATGCGCCGCCCCGCCCCGGGGGCGTGGCCTGTGCGCCGGGGAGGGCGGGGCTCCGGAGGGCCTGGGGTGGAAGCTCTTACCCTGAAACCTAAGGACTATGCAAGTAACGCCTTCTGCAGCGCTGGTGGGCAAACCAACCCTGCCACCTGCTTAAGCCCGACTTCACAGGCAAGTTCAGACTGATATTTCCATTTTGTGAAAGTTGGGAAAAGGCCAGAAGAGAAGACTACTTCGCGACACGTGAAAATCCTGAAATTCCTATTTTTAAAAAAATAAATTTTATTGATTTTAGAGAAGACGCTCTTTCCATTGAGCCAAACCAGCTAGGGCCTGAAATTCATTTTTTAAAATTTCTTTATTGATTAAGGTTCATTTTTGTCCTCAACCCCCCATTCCAATCTCCCCCTTCCCCCTCATGCCCCACTCCCCTATTGTCCTTGACCACTGGTTAGGCTCATATGTATGTACATAAGTCCTTTGTTGATCTCTCCCTTTTATCCCCACCCTCCCTCTGAGGTCCAACAGTCTGACCCATGGCTCCTTATCTCTGGGTCTGTTCTTGTTCCTCAGTCTATGTTGTTCACCATTTCCCCTAGATGAGTGAGAGCATGTCCTACTGGAAATATACTTATAAGAATAAAAAACGAGACAAGCAATAATCGTTGTGCTGAAAGGCATATGAATCAGTCTGTAGTGAGTTTCTTTCTGGGCCACCAGTTCTTTTGAGACCCAATTTCAATGTCAAACAGTTCCTTATGTGTACTTGTCAGCCATGATATTTCAGTCTTGGATGGGGGCAAATGGTCTGAAATTCATATTGCAATGTCTGTGGTTTTGTTGGAACACAATCACGCGCCCCCGCCCGGTGGCCCATCATCTCTGGCTGCCTTTACGCTACAGCAGTAGGATGCGTGGGTGAGACAGATCCTGAGGTTTGCAGAGCCTGACATATTTACTAAGAAAATGTTGGTGAACCCCCCTGCTTTCTAGAGCTGATGTAACACTGTGACACAGCAGCCTAACCCCTAGGCGGTGAATTTTTGCTGAGTTTCATTTGCCATAGTCCCTCCCCTCCTATCTTCATTCCCCTAGTCCTGATTCCATTATGTCCCCACTGCACCAGTTCAGGAGCCACTTAACCAGTTTTCCCAGTCCTGGTGCTATTAAGAACTGGGATAGTTCTACAGCTGCTTCCAAACCTTCAAAGTCTTTCTATTTTTTAATTTATTTTTTTTGTGTGAGTTGGATTCTAAGCATTTACCCACAGCATTGAAGGACAACAGAACCTGGCCCTTAAGAACCATTTCCTGAAGAATTTTTCACCCATGCTCTATTTGTGCAGGACCTCCTGCTAATGGCTGCCTGCTTCCTGGCCTCTGTCATCGGCGCATACCTTCTCCCTTGCCAGAAGCTGCATTCTGTCTCTTCATTACCCAGAGAACACCTCTGCATCCTCCAAAACACAACCAAACTGACCCCTTCTCTACCCTCCCACAGTCCCTTATAGACATCATCTTTTCTTTCTTCTTTTTTTTAAAAAATATATTTTATTGATTTTGTACAGAGAGGAAGGGAGAGAGATAGAGAGTCAAAAACATCGATGAGAGAGAGTCATCAATCAGCTGCCTCTTGCACACCCCTACTGGGGATATGCCCGCAACCAAGGTACATGCCCTTGACCAGAATCGAACCTGGGACCCTTCAGTCCCCAAGCCGACGCTCTATCCATTGAGCCAAACCGGTCCTGGCTAGACATCATCTTTTCATGCTTCATCATAAATTCCTGACACAGAGCCCCATCCATGAGCATTTATCAAATGAATGAGCATACAATCAACGACCAAATGACACCTCTTTTTATATGTGAAGAGGGATGGGAAAGCTGAGAATACATTGGTAAGGTGTGTAGGTGCCAGGAATGAAAAATGAACAAACCTGACCAGGCTTCTGCCCTCCTAGAGCTTTTAATCTTTCCAGGATAGGAATCAAAGAGTCACACACACACACACGTAAAATTTCAACTGTAACAGATACTTCGAAGAGAAGGTACAAATATAAGTTACTATATTCCAGTTACTGTGGCTGTGTGATAAAACCACCCCATTTCTTGAAGAGTTAGAGATGTAAAATGACAACATTCATTTTGTTCTCCAGTAATGGCAATTTGGGCAGGTTTGGTGTCAGGTGGGAGGCTGGAAGGCTGGCGCTGGAATTCTCTGAAGGTTTACTCACTCACTTGGCTGCCAGTTGCCGCTAGCTGTCCGCGGGGGCTGCTGCTAGAAGCATCTGCATGTGGCCTCTTCATGCAGCCGGAGCTCCCCCACAGAGGAGAGAAGCGACTGAGCCAGGAGGAAGCGGAGAGGCACACTGCAATATCTCCTTTTCTGATCTGGTCTTTCAAATCACACGGGTTCATTTCCATTGCAGCCTCTCCATAGTGGCTATAGCAAAATCCCTCTCAGATTCAAGTTGAAGGCAAACAGATTCTAGAAGCTGGGGAGTGGCCAGGGTCTGCAATAGCATGAGGGACAGGAAGTATTGCCATTTGGGGAAAAGATCCCCTGGACTTAACCCAGGGTAGTAAGGGATGGAGAAGGCTTCCCAGAGGAAGTGGCAGGCTAGCTGAGTTCTGAAGATGTAGGCCTTCACCATGAAGGTCAGAGGGCACAGCTGTGCAAAGCCCTGAGCTGGGAAGAAGTGCGGCACATTTGAACTAAAAATGGAAAAGGACCTATGTTTTGGGACTGTAGGATAAGTGTGGAGAGGCGGGACGGGGCAGGCCACTTACCCTGATGGGATGAGTTAAGAATTTTGGCCTTGGCATTTCACACTGGTAGAAATTGTGCGTGGATTTTATGCAAAAAGGTGTTTGAACAGCATTGAATTTGGAAGCAAAGGACTCTGGCTGCTCTACAGGGAAGTTGCCAGAAACTGACCATTGTCTCACTACAAATCTGGTCAACCTTGAAGCTTACCTCTCCCTCTCTAATTGAGACAATGGTAACTGAGGCAACTTCCCCATCTTGTAATCATGTAAATCCTTACTGATATGATAATTCATTTCTTACCTGCCTAAGGGCTATGGGTGTATCCCAAACCTGCTTAAGGGTAATGGGTGTATCCCATAGTCTCCGTAAAAGAGATGGCAAGGCCTGAGCTTAGCGGCAGTTCTCCCACCCGAGGTGGGCTCCCGCCTGGCCCCCCATATCGCCAAATTAAATTTCTTCTAGTCTCTCTTCCTTTTGTGTGCTGCCCTTCTCCAGAACTCAAACCCTGAATCAGAACCCTGAACCACGTGAAAGGGGTCCCATAGGAAGTTACTGGAGGGGATTCAAGGGAGAATGCAAAGAAGCTGTTCCATCCTTTAGCCAGGGGTGGGGAACACCAGGCCTGAGGGCCCTATAAGGCCTGTGAAATCATTTGGTCTGACCCAGCCAAGGCATCAGGGGTAAATTAATTAAATGTTTGACCAACTATAGCAGGCCAATTTGTAAGTTGATGATTTAAAAAAAATAAATATATATATATATTTTATTGATTTTTTTACAGAGAGGAAGAGAGAGGGATAGAGAGTTAGAAACATCGATGAGACAGAATCATCCATCAGCTGTCTCTTGCACACACCCCCACTGGGGATGTGCCCGCAACCAAGGTACATACCCTTGACCAGAATCGAACACGGGACCTTTCAGTCCGCAGGCTGACACTCTATCCACTGAGCCAAACTGGTTTCGGCTGATGATTTTTTTTAGGGCCTGAGAATTATGTTAAAAATATCCAAATGCCCCTTGGCAGAAAAAAAGGTTCCCCACCCCTGCCTCAGGCAAAGGATGATGGTGGCTTAGACCTGGGTGGGAGCAGTGAAGGTGGAGGGGGGTGGGTGGAAGGGAGCCATATTTAGAAGGTAAAACACAGAGGATGTAGTGCTGGATGGAAGTCGGGCTGAGGGTGGAGAAAGCAGCCCATGGCTCCCAGCCCAGAAAGGAATTCTGCATGGTTTCAGCACGTTCCCGCAGGAACAGCAGCTAAGGTGGCCTGGGCCACCGGCTGTCCCGATAGTCCCTTTATACCAACGCCACCTGGCAATCTATCAGTCACTGTCTTGGAGAACCAGGCGTGTGTAAGCTTCTGACATGCCGACAGAGTCCTCGAACTACGATTCTATTCACATTTTAAGGATCTCTTAATTTTCCGTTCTTTTCCTAGATGGCATATGGTCAGAGGAAGCTCTCACTCACTCGGAGAATAGGCAACCACAGGCCAGTTCCACCTTAGGGGTGTGTGTGTGTGTGTGTGTGTGTGTGTGTTGGTGCATGCATTCACATCCTTCAGAATTCAGCTAGAATGCCACCTCCTCCAGGAAGCCTTCCTCAACCTCAACCCCCCCACTAGGCTAGGTTAAGTGCCCTGGATAGCAGGAGGTATTTTCCCATAATGACAGTATTTCCTGCCCCCCTGCCATGCAGAACTTGTATGTGTGTGTTTATGTGCTTGTGCCAACATGTGGACAATGGTACGCATACATCTTGTCATTTTTATAAAGCATAACAAGTTTCCAAGCTAAATATTTTTCTTTACCATTTTCATCGACACGGAGTAAGGTGAAAACCTTAGCGTTGACAGTTTAGATAGACCAGCTTTGGAATACAAATGTCTTTACATTTTGTAAAGTTTAACACGAAGGTAAGTCTTCTTAAGTAGGTCTTTGCTTAGACAGTATTTTGGTGAGGTTAAGAAGACAAGATCAGAAGGTCCTGCTTTTAACCTAAGCCTTCCCAGGTGGCAGACTTTATGATCCAAATCTCTAACGTCCAGAATCACATGTTGTGGCAGAATTCCAAGATGGGCACCGGGATTCTCAGCCCTACTGTGCGCACCCTGGTACCTGCCGAATCCGCCATCCTGGAGTGTGAGTGGGACCTGGGAGGACAACCCATGCCACTCCCG